TTTACACTCCATCCAGGAAAGTATGAAAGGTCCAGTTTTTCTGCATCATCACCAGCATTGTATAGTGTCACTGTAGGATTTTTATTTAAGCCATAATGAGTATGTGGTCATATCTCATCATGGTCTTAATTTGTGTTTTTTCCTAATGGCAAATGAGGTTGAAGATCTTTTCCCAGCTTGTGTCAATATAGTACCAAGCAACCAGAGTCTAGGAATCTCTGCCATCCAGATTTTTTTTTTTTTTTTTTTGAGACAGAGTCTCACTTTGTTGCCCTTGGTAGAACATTCTGACATCATAGCTCACAGCAACCTCAGACTCTGAGGCCGAAGAGATCTTCTTGCCTCAGCCTCCCAGCTAGCTGGAAGGCTACCATAACAGATGCCTACCATAACACCCGGCTATTTTTAGTAGAGATGGGGTCTCACTCTTGCTCAGACTGGTCTCAAACTCCGGAGCTCAGGCAATCCATCCGCCTCAGCCTCCCATAGAGCTAGGATTATAGGCGTGCGCCAGTGTGCCTGGCTTGTGATATTGTTTTTGGTGACATGTTTCTTCATGTCTTTTCCTGATTTCCTAACTGAATTGTTGGATCCTGGCCTTGAACTCAATCTCAGGGGAAGAGTCCTCCATCTTTCACTATTGCATGTGCTATTAGCTATAGGTCTTTTTGAGATGTTCTTTAGCAAGTGGAGAAAATTTCCCTTTATTTGTAGTTTTTGGAAGGTTTTTCTCTTAAATCATACATGGGCATTGAATTTCTTCAAATACTTTTTCTGCCTCAGTTGGTAGAGTCATGTGATTTTTCTACTTTTTACCCCGTTAATATGGCCTGTCACATTGATTGATTTTCACTCTTGCATCCTTAGAATAAACCTCACTCGGTCGTGGCGTGTAATTATTTTATATGTTGCTAAATTCTCTTTGCTAATATTTTGTTAAAGATTTGGGGTTTATATTTGTGTGAAATATCGATCTTTACTTTTTAAAATTTGTACAGTCCTTGGTATCAGGGTAACACTGGCCTTTTCATATGAGTTTGGAAGTTTTCTGTTTTCTGAAAGAAATTCTTCAGAGAAGAATTGGTGTTAATTCTTCTTCCTGTGTTTGTTAGTTAGTATTCTCTGGTGAAGATATCTAGGCCTGGATATTTCTTTTGGGGGAGTTTTAAAACTACCAATTCAATTTTCTTAATAGTTATAGGGCTAATCCAATGATGTATTTCATACTGGGAAAGTTATGGTAGTTCGTGCTTTTCAAGGAACTAATCGCTTGTATTCAATTGTGTTAAATGTGTGTTGTATAATTTGTGATATTTCCTTATTATCTTTTTGATAATTGTGAGGCCAGTCTGTTTTCCTTAACGCTTGCTAACTCTGGCTATTTGCCAATCAGGTGAAAAATGAATCTTGTGGATTTATTTTTTTCTCTTCTTTTTTAAAATTTCAAATTAATATGAGGGTACAAATTTCTGGATTACATCATTCTCACTTCCAGGGGCTCCTTTACAAACCAGTTCAGTTGTAAAGGAGCCCCTTACCCAGGGGGCATGTTATACACCCTGACAATGTGCACATCACCCCTGCCACATGCCTCCCTCGTTCTCCCAATTGTCCCCCCATCCCTTCCCTTCTACCCTTCCCCTGCCCCCCTACTAGACTATATTTGTGTTTTATTATTTATATGAGCAAGTAATTATTTGTATATTGGTTTCATATTAGTATCGAGTACATTGGATATTTATTTTTCCATTCTTGGGATACTTTACTAAGAAGAATGTGTTTCGAATCCATCTAGGTAAATGTAAAGGATATCAAATCTCCATCTTTTTTTATGGCTGAATCTATGTATATGTATCCATGATCCATTCATGGGTTGATGGGCATTTGGGCTGCTTCCACGACTTGGCAATTATAAGTCGAACCACAACAAACATTCTGGTGCAAATGTCTTTGTGGTAAAATGATTTTTTTTCTTCTGGGTAGGTACCTACTAATGGGATTGCTGGGTGAAATGAGAGGTCAACTTCTAGTTCTTTGAGGATTTTCCACACTTCTTTCCAAAGTTTGCGATCCCACCAGCAGTGTAAACGTGTTCCCTTCTCTCCACATCCACGCCAGCATCTGCAGTTTGGGGACTTTGTGATGTGGGCTAATCGTACAGGGGTTAGGTGGTATCTCACAGTGGTTTTGATTTGCATTTCTCTAATGATCAGTTTGGCACGTGGCCATTTGTTGGCCCTTTGTCAGCTTTGGAAAGTTTCTGTTCAAGTCTCTTGCCCACTTCCAGGGGAGGTTGTTTGAGCTTGCCTTATGGTTTGAGTTCTCTGTAGTTATTGGCCGTTTGTCAGATTTATAACATGCAAAAATCTTCTCCCATGCCAAAGGCTGTCTGTTTCCTTTCTTTGTAGTACCCTTAGCTGTGTGAAAGCTCTTTAGCTTGATCAAATCTCAATTATTTATTTTTGGTGTTGCTGCAACTGCCAGGGAGGGTCTTCCTCATAAGTTTTGGCCCAGGCCAGCATCTTCAGGCGTTTCCCCCACACTGTCTGCTAGAGTCTTGTGGATTTAGTTTTGGTATTTTGTGATGTTAATTTGGTGGATCCTCTTTCTGTTTTTGTTGGCTCCTACCCTTCGCTCTTTTCCTTTTAGTTCTTCATCCGTTTCCTACTGATTTATAAGTGTCCTTTCAGTTCTAAATACTCACCCTCTTCCTGTCACATATATAATCTTTCTGTTTGCATTTCCCTCATTACCTTTTTATGCTTCCTTTTGTCACCCATCCATGCTTTATAACTTTCACATAGTTACAATAAATCCATCCATAGTTTTCTTGAAGGCCTCTGGAGTTTCATGTTGTCTCCGTCAGTACTCCATCAATTGCAAGAGATAGAAATCCAGATCTAGCTAGTTTTGAGAAAAGACTAAAAGGAAAGGAGAGAAAGAATGTTGGCTGGTGTAACTGGGCATTGAAGAGAGAGAGTTCTCTGCATGGCTGGATCCAGGATCTGAAGACTAATCATCAGGGCTCTCTGCCTCTCTTCTCTTACCACTGCTTAGCTTTTGTTTATATCTACGTGATGACACCATTTTCTCCAAAGCAGATAGTCTGTGTGTGTTGATAAAAACGCTGCTGGTAGCCCCAGCTTATATTCTAATGATTTAAGATCCAAAAAATAAAAGACTTCGAGAGTCTATATACGTCGCAGTGTATGGCACACCTCTTGGGGGTGGGATGCAATTATAAGAGGGACTTCAACAAATGCAATCAGTGTAACCTAACTCTTTGTACCCTCAATGAATCCCAAACAAAAACAGAGCCTATTAACAGGGTGGCCATAAATTCCATGTGCAATTTAAAATGGCATGCTCTTTTAAGCTGCAAACAAACTTTATGGCCACCCTGTATCATATTCTGTGTAAAGAGTTAGAAGGACCCTGCTTGGGTGTGTGGACCCTCTTCCCTCTCTCTCATACCTTGAGCCAGTCCATAAACATGAGAAACAGTGTGTCATGCATAATTATTTGCTCAACTCCGTGGCTGGTGGGCAGGTGGGATTACTTATCAGAACCCCAGGCTGTGGACAGCTCCCTGGAAGACTGATGGGCAGGTAGAAACAAAGGGAATCCTCTCTTCCCTTCTAACACGCATGGCTTCGTTATTTTATGTATCATTTTGGCCCATGAGAAGGAGAGAAAGAGAATATGAATTTGGGGTGAGGTGGGGATCTTTTGATGACTATCTTTACCCTGGAAGAAAAGATGACCTCGAAACTTATTTGCTGGCCTGTTTCATAATCTAATCACTTTTCTTCTCTTTTTCTTGAGTTTATCCTGAGTTCACATGAATCTTAGAAAATGAGAATGGTGGGAAGGGTTTGCACAGTGGGTGTTAACAAATATCTGTTTTAACCTGTCTGAGCCCATTCTTCACGTCCTTCTGGGATATCCTGGGCATCAAGGTATTGGATAGCATTGGAAGGTACAGAGTGGGCTCCAGGAGCACCATAGATACTCCAGACTACCTAGAATTGGGGATAGATGGAAAGCCGGAATTTCTTCCAGATCCTGGATTGGACTGGGGGAGGGTAGGCTGAGTCTAAGTGAGAGGGTTAAGGATGCAGGTGCCACCTGTGTGGCCACCTCACTCCCACCTGTGTACATCATCAGGTCTCCCGTGGGGGCCACCACACATGGACGCCCAGGGGAGTCATTCTAAATGTCTTCCCAAGTGTTCCCTGGAATCTTTTTAACTTTAGAGGAATCTTTCAAAATGACTCTTTCATGCTAAACACATATTATCTCTGGTTCAACTCTCCCTTTAATTTCACCCCACTTTCCTTTTCTTCCCTTAAATCCCAGAAAGACAATTTAAACATTTTAATTTCAAAAGCATGCACAGCGTGATCCCATTGGTATGAAATTATGCTGTTGAATGCGATTCCATCTATTGATCCTTCCATCTCTCTGTATGTCAACTGTCAAGAATGATTATTTCTAGATTGTGTTGGGTTTTCATTTTTCGCTTTCTTCTTTTTTAAGCTAATAAGCACCTATTTCTATAAAAGCAGTAGACATGCCTTTTAAAGTCAGCGATAAGACGCATCCACATCCTGCTACTTAGAGTTGGATACATCTCCCTCAATGTGTGAGTAAATATTGTCTACTGGCAATTATTGGTTGCAAATTCATGGGGAGGCTTACAGGACCTCAGCCAGAAAGAGAGGAGACAGGAGAAGAATCGAGAAGAGGAGAAAAGAAGACACACATGAGGCAGGGGATTAGGCCATGGGGGGTCATGGCCTCGTGTTTCTGTGGCAAACTGCTACCTTTCATCCCCTCTGCTTGAGAATCGTTTTTGTCTTTGCCTCAAGTCAGGCTCCTTTTATATCCCTTCCTGTGCCTAGAGCAGCACTGTACATTCAGGAGGTGCTCAATAAATGCTTAAGGATGTGCAGTTTACCATAAGAAACTAATACTAATTGCACCTTGTTGACTTTCAGGCTCACGGGCTTTCAGCTGCCAGCCACCATTGTCAGCGCGGCCACCACCCTCTCTCTGCGTCTCATCAGCGACTACGCGGTCAGTGCCCAAGGCTTCCACGCCAGCTATGAAGGTAGGTGTGACGGGAGCCTGGGAAGCGATGTCCTAATAGCCACAGGCAGGTCTGTCTCTCCTGGCTGCAGGGAAGGAAAAGTTCTTGCGATTCAAAGCTTGCGCCTGTCCTAACAAGGTTGCTCACGAGCCAGAAACTCAGTTACTTCAATTGCCCCTCTCATGTTCCTGGGAAGCCGAGAATTGCAGTCAGAGCTCAGCTGCAATAGTTTATCCTGAGGGCCTGGTAGCATCTACTTCTCGGTTCCCTTTAACTCGGTTTTGGTGTGTTTTCATTTTTTTTCAGTTTTGTTCTATATTGGGTTTAATTGTATAAGGTACCTCAGGTTGTTTTTGAAAATAAAAGAGATATAAGCCCGAAGTAAAAGAAATAATCCAAGCAGCCAGAAGCTCGATGTAACGACTGCAGAAAGTCACTTTGATATCATTCTGAAAACAATCGATTTTTCCTTAATAGCATGGATGGGGGGGTTTGGGTTTGAGCTAAGCAAATAATTTGCACGTCTCTCAGTCTGTTTAAATACGGTGTTAAAATTCAAATTAACACTAATATCTTCAGATTATACACTATTATTATTATTAACTTTATTATGTTAGTTCAGAAGGTGGTACTTCGAGATCTCTGTCATTTCCCTGGGAAATTTACATCTCATTAATAGGTAATTATGCTGCTCTTGGCTAAGACCTGCGCTGCTATTTTGTGTTCAAATCATTAACAGGCATATTTTAAGACTGTTAATGATAATTAATAACAATAATGATATAACACCCTAGCAAAGCATGCCAGTTATTAGAAAGCTTTTTTCCTTTGCCTTTGTTTAAAAACTTAAAGAATAAGCGATGCTTTTTCTTGAATGAAGCTATCCTGATACATAAATAGACACCACCTTTGTCTTGGCCAGGGGTAAACCACATAAAGAGGGCAAGTCTTACCTCCTTGGCAAAAGCCACCCCTGGCGGTAGGGGCATCGGGGGCACTTGGCTGCTTGAACCCGACGAATTGAGGGCTCCTGAGAAGGCCTCTGTTATTTTTAACTAAAGATTTCCAAGAACGTTCCACATGCCTTTTAATGAATGGCTCCTGACAAAGACCTGCCTGTCTTTGAAGTGGGGACTCCTGAGATAACCCAATTTCTTTTTTTTTTTTTTAAATATCAGATTAATATGAGGATACAAATGTTTAGATTGGCTTGTTTTCATTTCTAAGGTAAAAGTTCAAGTGACAGTTGAGTCCCTCACCCAGGGGGTGTGCTGGACACCCCCACATTGTGCACAGTAGGTGAGATCCTGCCAATCACCCTCCCTCCTTCTCCCTCCTCCCCTTCCCTCCCTCCCTTCCCCCTCATTAGACTATACTTGTGTTATTTCTTTCGTGTTAATTGCTTATATATTGGCCTCATATAAGTATGGAGTACTTTGGATACTTTTTCTTTTCCATTCTTGAGATACTGTACTGAGAAGTATTTCACCTCCATCCAGGTAAACACAAAAGGTGTAAAGTCTCTGTCTTTTCTTATGGCTGAATGGAACTCCATGGTATACCATAGTCTGTTAGTCCATTCATGGGTTGATGGGCACTTGGGTTGCTTCCACGTCTTTAAAAAAAATAACAATCAATATCTCCCACTATCAAATCCAATTTTGGTCAGCTGGGCTATACTTTCACCCCATCCTAATTCCAAAGTAATTCTCTCCAAGGTTGATCTACAAGCTCATTGCTAACATAGGCCTCTTCAGAAGCTTCTCAAGTCCCTCTGGCCATGAGCTCCTTCTGCAATATTTTGCCCTTGGGGAAACTGACCATATGTGGGGGAGAGAGCAGACGGGAGGGGAACTGAGTCAGTGGTTCTGAGGAGGTGTCTACAGAGATTCTGGGAGTGACTGACACATGGGGGACCTGGGCCCTCGTGGTGTCCACATTCAGCAAGCCTTCTGGGTCTTTGTGAGAGGCCCAGACTTTTATGAGGCTTGGGGGGAAAAGTGTCCCGATGGACTCAGTGCCCATAGCTCAGTGGTTAGGGTGCCAGCCACATACACCAGGGCTGGTGGGTTTGAACCCAGCCTGGGCCTGCTAAACAACAGTGACAACTGCAACAAAAAAATAGCTGGGCATCGTGGCAGGCATGTGTAGTCCCAGCTACTTGGGAGGCTGAGGCAAGAGAATTGCTTAAGCCTAAGAATTTGAGGTTGCTGTGACCTGTGTTGCCTTAGCACTCTACCGAGGGTGACATAATAACACACTGTCTCCAAAAACAAACAACAACAAAAAAGTATCCCAGTGATCCCTGGCCACACTGCCCTGTTAGGAAAACAAGCACTCCTCCATCAGGCAGAGAAGATCTGTGGATACATTCACAGAGCCCTTTGAAAACAGAGTTTCTAGCCTGGAATTTAGGCTCTATAGCAGGGCATCAGGACGTCTGTAACTAGGATCTACAGAGAACTCAAATTAATAAACATAAAAAGAGCCAACAATCCCTTAGATCACTGGGCAAGAGAGATGAATAGAGCCTTCTCTAAAGAAGACAGACTTGAATGGCTAACAAACAAATGAAAAAGCACTCATCATCCCTAATTGTTAGAGAAATGCAAATCAAAACCACTCTGAGGTCTCATCTAACCCCAGTGAGAATGGCCCACATCACAAAGTCTCAAAGTTGCAGATGCTGGCATGGTTGTGGAGAGAGGGAACACTCTTACACTGCTGGTGGGACTGCAAACTAATACAACCTTTTTGGAAGGCAGTATGGAGAACCCTCAAAGAGCTCAAGCTAGACCTCCCGTTTGATCCTGCAGTCCCATTGCTGGGCATCTACCCAGAAGAAAAAAATCCTTTTACCACAAGGACACTTGCACTAGACTGTTTATCACAGCTCAATTTACAATCACCAAATTGTGGAAACAGGGAAACAGCCTAAATGCCCACCTACCCAGGGATGGATTAACAAGCTGTGGCATATGTACACCATGGAATACTATTCAGCTACTAAAAAAGATGGAGACTTTACATCATTTTTATTAACCTGGATGGATGTGGGACACATTATCCTTGGTAAAGCATCACAAGAATGGAGAAATAAGAATCCTATGTACTCAATTCTGAAATGAGGACAATTAAGG